TTACGCAGACATGACTGAGTAAAGAGTCTTAATGTTTGCAGGATAGTTGGCACCTGGTGAGAGAGAGGAAACAGTGTTGGTGATTTCTAAAATGATGATATTAAATAATAATAATTATTAATTAAATTATTGTATTATTTAATCAAAAGAGGAGTGTTCGCTGTCCTCTTGGGCTACATTAGTAATGGATTTTAAAACTTTTTTTGCCATGAATGCCATAATTGATGACCATCACGAGCATGAGGAATACTTGTCCATGCTTCTCACAGTAAATTTAAATGTTCTCATCACTTTAATAATTTAACATAATTAGATGGTGAACTCTTTTGTTGTTACCAATTAATCTGCCAAAAACAGTGAAAAATGCCCATCACAGTGTCCTAGAGCCCATGGTGACCTCTCCAGATGTCTTGTTTTTTGTCCGACCAATAATCCAAAACACCCAAATACTTGATCTACAATAATGTAAAACCAAGAAAAAATGCACATTTTCACATTTCAGAACCTCGAGGCAATATTTTTATGGATATGTTACTAGGCTCAAGCTAGTAAAATGGCTGTTGTGACTTTTATATAAAAGTAATTTGGGCGTTTATCCAGACATCACAGCAATGTCTGGTTTTATATTGCAAGTGGAGGAGTCTCATCACAAATATGTACTCAAAGTGTTTAAGGAATTATGACACATAATTTTTGGGAAGCTACATCTGAAGGTTGCTCAAGATAAATTTTGGTATTTTGGAATAGCCAATAAGGCAGGTAGTGTGGAGGAGGGTCTCCAGGCTGACGACTTTACTACAGGAGCGTCATGACAGTTAGACAGGATAACAATTGTGTTCTGTTGGTCTGTGACGGAAATGGCAGCTGCAGTTTTACCTTGATGACACACTTACCCTGGAGGAAGAGAAAAGGTGTGTATTTAGGGAAGGGATGATGATACAGGAGTGTGCAGGTAATTCTACCCTTGGCATCACCTCATCAAGCACTTGGCCTTTCACTCAGTAAAGAAGAGCTCTGCTGACTCCTTGACTTGCTTCCTTTTAAGCCTGCTGCGATCGGATATTTTTAGCTTGATTTCATTTACTCTGTGCAATTAAGTAGGATGCTGGTAAACAATGCTCTGGTAGGAGGCCAGGGCCAAACTTGGCTCAGTCATGATGAGTCAGACAGTTTCAACTGAAAAAGGAATAAACTTCATGTGCAGGCAGGAGTGAAGCACAGTCCATGGGGGTAGCAGGTTTTTTCCTTTTTTTTCTTTTTTTTTCCACAGAAACACTTTTGTTTTATATTTACGCCTTGCCACACATTCCTTTGTGTTCATGGGGGGGTGGGGGATGAGACATTGGCTTTAGAAGTCTTTCTGCCTTGCTGGATCACATAGACAACCAGTCACTTCACTGCCGCTTTATAGCAGTTCATATCTGTAAAGATTTGTCTGTGCATGCATCTGTTTCTGCACATGTGTGTTTATAGTGTGTAGTTGTGTACCTTGCTGCATTTATGTGTTTTTCGGTATGTGAATGCATGCAGCATTCATTCATTTGAGTGTGTATGCATTCAGGTGTGTAGTGAATATGACTGCAGGTGTGCATTGAGATGCATTTGTATGTGTGTGTTCACATCCAGGTGTGTACGCTATGCATTCATGTAGGCATGTGTGTGCGCATTTGCATATGATTTATAGTAGGTAAGTGTGTATGTGCATGTACTTTTACATATATCCACAGTAACCTCTGACCTATGAGGATAAAAATACCAATGAGATGTCAGAGTGTCACCTTTAGCTTGGCTCTTTGCATTGTCAAAAGATATTTATATCTGGAATGAACAATTGAGAAAGATGGGTTTGATTTCCCCGCTGTGGCCTTGGGCTCGGCCTTCCTGTGGGTGCAGAGTCAACCTCAGTCAGATGCTCTGATTGGAGCCAGATCCTTTGTCCCAGATTCCGTCTTGCACCCTTAAACCTCACGAAATCTCTAAACTAAAACCTTCAGTCATTGGTGTAAGTCCCACATTACACAAATCCAGCTCTAATGTGATCTTGTGAAATGTCAGGAGGGGGATACGGAGAAGTTTGCTGGTGGACAAGAGGGATGACATGCAGGGGAAATAAGGTTGAAGATGAAATTCCAAGCTTTTTACAGTAATAATCGCTGTAGTTGGTGTGAAGTGGAATGCTCCAGTTAATTCCTCACTCTCTGGACCCACTTTCTGCATTTATCATTTTTATGAGGCGGAGGAGGACATCTGTTTGTATCGTTGACCCTTACTGGAGTTCTCCAGGGACCTTTTAATCTTCCATAGAGCTCAATAAGGTGAAGATGTAGTGATATGCTATTTTTGTGTACTCTTTCCAGATGCTTCCCTGAATACTCTTAATGCGGCCACATTGCACTCCTGGGGTCCATGAATTGTCATAGGCGATACTGCGAAGAAAGTTAAATGTTGTGCAGGCATTTTATTTTACTGTCCCAAGAGCACCCCTCTGCTCCGTAAACCTCCACAGGCCCTGGGGCTACAGAGAACCCCATTCGCTGTAAATACCCAGAATTCCTAAAACTTTCGAACCCTATATATTATAAATTCCTCAGACACCTTCAGACACTTTGTAAATTCAGATGCTCTGGTACTCGAGGGGGTAGTGAGACCCCTTAACCCCGCCATGTCCTTATTTTCTAACCGAACCCCACCACTGACTCACTCTCACATTCACACACACACACACACACACACACACACACACACACACCCCCTGCGATGGATTCCAGATCGGGAATTTAATGCATTTCTGTTTCGCATTACATCCCAGGAATGCGGCACGCGTGCCACAAGCCTCATAACCTCAGGCTGATGAGTGTGAGGATGTTTAAAAGAGAGAGGGATGATGGGATACAGACGCTGCTGGGGGTTGTGGGGGTAGCTGGGAGGCGGGGGAGTTGACAGAGCGCATCCGGCGCGGCACTTGGCGTTAATGACAGGCCATCTTGTTGCATAAAGCAGTGTTAGTGCAGCTGTGGAATGTGCCGAGCGCATCTGGAGTGCAGATTTTTGGGAATGTAGTTTGTGTGTGTTTGTTTGGTCTGTCCCGTCTCACTCAAATTAACGACTGTTGCACGATACGAAGAGAGGATGGAGTGAATTAACTTTGTTGGGGATATTTTGACAGGGGGCTTATCTAAAAGTGGAGATTTTACAATGTAGTCTGTTTTGCATAATGTTTAGAGACTGTTTTCAGTCAGAATACGCATTTTGAATCTTTTCAGGATTAGACACTCATTGTCAGGTTGCTTGAAGGGAATGAAAAGTTCCTGACCTGCAGATTGACCACAGTGAAGCACTGCGTGACAGTTAGGTCATGGTCAAACAAACTCCAAATAATTCTCAGTTTGAGTTAACATGCATGGAGCATCTTTGTTGGGAAGTCTATTGGCATACCTGCTTAGTTCATCACAGGAACGTTTTATTTGTTTCATGTTATTTACTGTCTTATGAAATTAACTTCCCTGTTGGTACTCTGAGCAGTAAGCAAACTAATACAGTTTTTTTTTTTTTATCCAAATCATGGTCAGGTAGGTCTTGACAGCAAGGATGAAATCAAGATGTGATGTTGATAAGAATAATTTTCTAATATTGATACATAAGAATATCACTCTGGAAAAAATAAAAACTAACATATCATTATATTGTCACTTGGTATCGAACCTCAATTTGTTTGAAGCTGTCCGAAATGTATCTGTAGATCCTAGTATAAAAAGCTTGTGTCGAAAGTGTGGCTAGATTTGTAATCTTGTTGTAATCAAAAAATCTTGACAATTATTTTTAATGATAATTAATAATACATTTTCTTACAAGTCAATAGTGATGTCTTCATATCGCTGGTAATGTCTGACCCAACAATCCAGAACCCAAAGATTTTCAAATCCTCACATTTGAGAAGCTGGAACCTGACGATGTTTGACGTTTTTGCTTCTTAACTGATTGAACCAATTTATCGATTATAAAAAAATAGTTGGTGTTTCAACACTAATCTTGTTTACATAAGCGTTCATCAGATAGTTGCAAATCTTGTACGCCATAATTTAGAAAAACAACTTTTATGTTTCTCTATGGAAAAAAATATAATTTTGGTATTGTAGCCAAAACTCAGGGATTGTCACACTAATGTAAAAAAAATGTTCATATGATACCCAGCTCTAATCATGACAATATGATTAAACTGATACATGATGATATTGAATTATTGTCCAGCCCTTGTTGTCCATAGTAGAAAGAGCTTTATTGCCAAGTAGTATTTTACACGTATGAGGAATTTGCTATGGTGATTAGGTGCTAGACATAAACTATACAGTTGACATAAATAGATTTAAAAATATAAATATGGAATAAACAGATGCAAGTTAATGGCAAAAAAAAGGTAAAACACAGAAATGGCACATAAAATACATTGCATACATTACAAATACCCCCCCAACATCCTTAGTTTGATAATTAATAGTTTGTTGCACCGTCCACCTGTGATTGGCGGGGATGTTTCATTTTCTGTCTTTATTAAACTTCCTCGCTTGTCTTATCAGAGACCAGATATTACAGAAAGAGGATGACAATTTAATTACACATTATTACAATTACACAATTATAGGACAGCAAATGATCCTGATGATACTGCCTGTATCATGCATAGCCAGACAGGAGACAGTGATCAGCTTTATTTTGGAAAAACGAAGGTCTAGACAGTGAAGTCATGAAAATGAAGTCACCATTTCCCTTAGCTCTTGCCATTGTCTTATTGACAGTAAATGGTGTTCTCCATCAGAAATACTGTACTTTTGTAACATGTCATTGTACTGATTTTGACGTTTGTTGCACTCTACCGCCATCTGGTGAACAAATGAGGTTTGAATGCATTTGTAAAAGTGCAGCTGCCTGTGGATTTGTGTGTAGCACTGTATGTTTGTGTAAGTTTTTAATGTAGTTTTAAACAAAATAGTCAATACAGTTAGCCACTTGTTCAGCATGTTTATTACATAATTCAGTCTTCAGCTTTTTACATACGGTACATATATATATATATATATAAAACACCAAGTTCAGGACTCATGACGGCATCAAAGGCACTGATTGTGACAGTACAACAACACAGTACAAATGTTCTGCAGATAGCATTCCTGTTTGGAGTGAGACTTTAGCAAAATGCCCTATTTCTGACAGCATTCACGAGCAGGAAATGTTTAAGCCAGTTCCTTAAACAGGTATAAACCTAGGGCAGACAAACCAGAGAAAAAAGCATTTTGATAAAAACAATAAAAGATTTAGTAAATTGTACATGGTATGGTGTTATATTAGACGACAACTTTGTTTAAAGATAATTGACTTTACATTAAACATGTCATCCTCAAGTGCTTAACTTTACGGAAAACAAAAACTCTGACAAAACATTGTTAAAATGTGTTTTATTTTTTTTCAAACATGTAAAAATGGTCCCAAAGGGTTAAGAGGAAAATAGTCACATGAAAGAGAGTAGTAGATCTTACAACTTGGTAGGTGTGGTTCACGCTCTCTTAACATTATAACAGCGTGAATCTAAAACATGGTCAAGCAGTTTGCGTTGGACTGATTAGACTCTAGTCAAAAGTAGTGCATTTATTGTTAAGACAGGACAAAGTGGAAGAAAAAGATAAAAGGTATTTTACAAGACTTAATAAGCTGCACATCTTAAAATGAATAGATTTAAATTAAGTATACTGTTAGCTTTTAGCCTTGGTCAGCTATTCTATACAGGATGTGAGTGTCCACTGTTCATAGGCTGTGAAGTACTAACAGCGTTGTAAAAAAGGGACTTATAGCTTCTATAGTGAGCTGCCCATTGGTCCTACAGAAGACCCGAAGGTCTAAGTAGATGGAGTTGTCTTTTAAAATTTGGCCAGCTGCTGTAGTCAAGTCAGTTTTATTTATACATCCATATATCGCAAATCAAGATTTGCCTCAAGGGGCTTCTGGCCCCCCCGTCCTTAAACCCTCAATTCCGATAATGGAAAAACTCCCTTTTTAACAGGGGGGAAAAAATGGAAGAAACAACATGCAATAGATGTTGTGTGTACAGTGATACATGAGGATATACAATATCGCTGTACACTTTATTGTAATATCAGGGCTGGTGTGTCATTCAATCTGCTAGCACAGTAGGTGAATATTGGATCAATGCTAAGCCACTGAAAAATAAAGAAGGCCAAGGCACCGTTTAAATGTATTTTCCTGCTCTGTAGCCTAAACTGTCTGTAATATACTCTACCTATGGTGGTTGTTAGGGTTGACCCAACCTTGCCAAGTGAGCTCTGCTGCCTTTACAACTTATTTTACATACTGTACACAGTTTTGGAAAAAAAACTCCCTTTAAACACATCACCAATCTACATTTTTAGCTGCTTAGTTATACAACACCAAGTAGCAAGGCATAGCAGTCAATATATTTAGCAACAAAGGAAGACACACATCTTAACAGCAAAGCTATTTTTCCTGGTGTTATCACGTCAGCACTTAGTATTTTTGTTGGCTGCCTGCTAGAATTAGTGAACTTTAAGGTAAAAATGTGAATTGAGTCTACTTTAATCTATGGTGACTAACAATGACAGACTTGTTCAAAGGTATACCAATACACTTATCAGTGCTGGCTCATACTGAGCAATTATGCCACTGAAAACCCAGTTACCAGCAATATATTCCAGCTTCCCTTCTGACTTGTAGACATGTTTAAGGTTCAAGGCTCTACTGGGCCTGGGTCGCCTGGTTCTTCGTCTCCTGCCACTTCTTCTCTCTTAGACTGAGCTCTGCATCAGAAAAGGCTGCTGGGCCCCAGTTGGTGATCCGCTGCTGTCCCTTGGAACCTGGAAGGGAAGAGAAAGGAAAAATTCACCATAGTGGTAGGAATATTTCATTCAAGGTGGACCATAACCTTCAGTTATTCACCTTATGTGCAATTATAATTAAATAACTAAATAATTAAACATGGCTTAACATGTGTGCTCTATGACTGATGTAATGAAACTCAAAAGTGATGTCATGTTGCACTAATCACAGCAGCAAGTTAAGCTTAACCACTGGAGGTCAGCAAAAACAAGAATTTGGGATACTGTGAAAGGATGTCGTTGTACCATGTGAAGCTCAATGCTCTGACTCAGGTTGCTGTGTCCAGCTGGAAAATGTAACTGTTTTTGGTAATCATGGCCCTTTAACTAAGCAGGATGTTGTTTGCAATTGCTTTTGGGGTAATTTCCTTTTTTTTTGGATACATCTCTCTCATTAAGTTTTCCTTTATATTTTTTATTTAACTCCAAAATGCTATAGTTGCTCCCTCCGGTTTTAAATAGAGGTCAGGCTCTTAATCATTAACCAGATGTAAACATACAAATGTGGCTGAGAAACAAAGGTGAGCGCCGTTATGGTGATAAATCATCCATAAATGCTTCAGTTACTTTGCAGTTATGTTTGGCCTTAAAAGTAATCTGCACTTTAGGTTTCAACTGAACATGAGCGTACTTATCAGATGAATTGTTGAAAGTGTGCTGCAATTTAAATTTCTTAAACCTTCTGGCCCCAAAAGAGTTTGGACAGACTGATATGTCTATAGAGTAGTCATCTTACTTTGTAGTAAACAACATTCTGAATATGAAGCCTCCAACCAAAATATCTATGGAATTTAGATATCTCATTGTTATGTCTTCTCCCTCCAGCATTTTTGCTCAGCTGTAACCAGCTTTGTGGGAGCAGACCGTAGCCTAAGAGAGTATGACAAAAGAGTGTCAGGTTTACAAAGAGCCAAATTGTTTCTCCTCGACTAATTTCACTAATGAACTCTACTGGGAAATTAGTAGGAAGAAGGCGCCATTAAATTTATTCATGGCAGGAGTTGGTTTGTAGCTTTGGGGGGAAAACATTTCAAGCAGATCATGCTCTGAAACTCTCAGACTAAAGCTGGAGATGTTTACAGTATTTTATTCTTTTGCAATGTTTCCCAACAATTAACAGTGTAGTAAAAGTCAGATAATGTAAGAATTTATCATGGTTGCCAAGAGACACTCTTCAAATTGGTCCTCCCTGACGTAGCACTTGGTCAAAGGTTGTCAGTGTGTGTTACTTTTAGTGTGTGCAAGCAATTGTCAAACCACAACAATAGTTCAGTGATATGTTTGTGCTATTATTAAATTATTTAAAGGAACTATTCCATATTTTGTCCTTTAAAACTGTCGGCGCCAACAAACCATGTGCTAAGAGGATTTAACAAAGCGTATTTTAAAGAAGAACCACACACTTCATTATTATTCTTTTGCACCGTACACAAAAAAGTTAAATTTCTCTCCTTCCAGCTTATTAAATGTGAATATTTTCTGGTTTCTTTAGTCCTCTATGACATTAAACTGAATATATTTGGGTTGTGGACAAAACAAAACATTTCAGGAAGTCCTGTTGGGCTTTGGGAAACACTAATCAACATGTTTTACCATCTTCTTACATTTTATAGACCAAACCGCTATTTGATTGATCGAGAAAATAATCGAACAGATTAGCCGATAAATGAAAATAATTGTTAGTTGCAGCCCTAATGTAATGCACTTTGAATTGGCTTTGTCTATAGAATGTGATATATAAATAAATTTGCCTTGTTCCTGTACTGGCTATTGTCTTCTGCATTACGTGTTTGTGGCCTTGCATTTTGAATCCTGCCCAGCTTTACTATTAAAGCCCTTTTAGAGATGGAACAGCTGTCTTTATCTGTCCGAGGTACATGCCTGAACAGGGCTATAGAGTGGCAAATACATTAAGTCTTACCCCTCAAACAGTCCTTTATGAAGATTAATCTGCGTGTTAGAGTCCGTTCAAAGATAGAAGTACAGACAGTGGTCTGTGTGCTGTTGTTACCTGGTTGAATGAGCCTTAACAAGCCCTCGTGTTCAGCCACCTTGTGCTTCCAGGTCTTGGTGTTGTTGGTTGCGTCTTCCAGCTTCTTCATGACCGTCTGGCTCACACAAGGACAAGGAGAGGGTTTTTCTTTTATGACAACACTCTGAAAACCTAATTTGTTGCGGTATACTTTATCAACAAATACAATTTAATTAGTATTAACTTCTTTGTATGGTTTTATGGCTAAATAGCTGCCTCCCATTCAGCAGTCATACAGTGATGCTGTGTCTTTACTGAGAACTTAAGTTTTTTAGTAAATGTAAACCGATTTCCTCAACATTGTTTACAGTTGAGTTCCCAAACATCACCAGTAAGCTGGGAGGACATTTTCAGATTTTGTGGTGATAATGTGTGTGTTCCTTTAACCAAAAACAGGCATCTCTCATTGTTTTTCGCCTTTTATACACTATTTAATAGATTACCCAGCCCTGTTCAACTGAGCCATACTGTTGTATACTTCATTGTAAACTGATTTAGAAATGTCTCTTGTGGGCTACTGCGCGTCCCCAAACCACCACCACTTTGACTGCTCTGACCTGGTACTGCTCCAGCGCCCCCTGCCTCTCTATCTCCAGCTGGTCCAGTTGTTTCATTGCTGCCTGCAGGGCACTCTCCTTGGCCAGACGTTCCCTCTCCAGCTCCTGTTTCTCAGCCTCTGTCTCTGAGATGGCGCGCTGCTGCCGCAGGTGGAACTCCTCCAACTCTGCCCTCTTTGTGGCCTCCTCCTCCAGCAACCTGCTCCACACAAAAATTAACTTAAGTGAGAATAATAACTCTGTATAATATGTACAATGTATTACAGGAAGGCATCTTTCTCGTTAGGGACATTATTAGCTGCTGTGCAATCCCAAAATTTTTACAATTCCCACCATCAATCCATACTGTATATTATTTTTAAAAAAACATTAAAAAACCTAGAGACATTTATTGTTACAATGACTATATTAAATGATGTCAACCCAAGTATTTAAAATCTGTGCAAGATATAAAAAAGGTTTCCTCAGTTCAAGTAATAAAATAAATTTATATATATATATATATATATATATATATATATATATATATATAATAATAAAAAACATCTCATGTATAAATCAATTGTAAATGGAGGTAGCTGTGGCATTGAGTCAGCAGATGGCGCTATATTACCATTGTGGACTGTTTTTAAGATTATGCTTGAAGTAAATGTGACTATAGATTTTACTTCTGGATAAATGTAGTTTGTATTGTTTATATTCTTTATCAAAACATGCTTTATATAAAAAGGCAGACAAAAATTTTAACGCTTTTTCAAAAGGCAGAATCTAAGGCCATCATATTTGATTAAAATAAAGTAAATTAACATTTAATTGTTTTTTGACTGCATTCATCTTGCATCAAATATAAACAGAAAAACTTGGGAAAGCACCTTGCATACAGGAGCTACAGTGGTGCTACTGACAAAATGTACAACACACAGAAGTCAAGTTGGCTCAGTGCCCAATATGATATTGAATATTTTACTTCAAATCTCTCTCATTATCTCTGTGATTCCTGGTGGGCATGTTTATAATCTATTTACTATATGTCTATGCACAAGTAACTCAAATCGGCCCTTAGCCTATCATCAAGCCTAAATATCTGTAAACTGCTTTCCACACGTTTGTAAGCTTTACTTGAAAAGTTCAGTGTGGTAGAAGACTAAATGGCCTATGTTACTGATTGCTGTCTTTTTAACAAAGTGGTTTAATTTGAGCACAGTGGTGACATGCTCACTGCTGGTTAGTCAAACGTAAGGTGGAAAGTAAATGTCAGCAGAGAGGAAGGAAGGACAGGGGAGAAAATGTGGTGTAGATGGAGAGAGAGGGAAGTAGAAGTTGAATGTCTGGCTGCCTGTGAGGAGCAGACTCAGCACATGTGGCTGCTTGTAGATGGTTTCATGCTAAAGGATTAAAAGGTTCAGTGTGTAATATTTATGATAATCTATTGACAGAAATGCAATATAATATCCTTAGCTATGTTTTCAGTGGTGTATAAAGAGCTTACATAATGAACCATTATGTTTTTATTACCTTATAATGAGCCATTTGTATCAACATACACTGCAGGTCTGTTACATGGACATTGCCAAGTTGCGTCGCCATGTTACTACAGTAGCCCAAACAGCACTACAGAGCGCATTTCATCACTACGTTGAAGCATGGATCTAAGTTACTTCACTGTAACTTATGTGACCCACATAAAATACAATAATGCAACATAACGGCGCAGGACAACAACACAGTAGAAGACCCATTCACTACAGTAATGTTACTTACTGCGGCCTAACTGTTAAAGTGTGTCAACAATCTTATTTATACTATTCAGCCTAGCTCACTAGCTGTTTTGTTATCATCCAATACATTTAGCTGTGCTGCATTGGTGAACCTACGGCGAAAGATAAACAGATTGTAACGTTACTGAAAAGCAGACAGGCGAGCTAACGCTGTTGTATCATGTCTGCTAAATGCAGTCAATGTAACGTTATCATGCAACGAGCATGGATTAGTTAAACCTCAAGCTGATAAAGATATTTAATGTTGCAGTGGGAGTTTAACTGATTTTCCAGCACGTTGTGTCTGTCTATAGCCGCTGTCACACTGACTTATTTTGCGGGAGTATTCAATATGCCAATATACTGTAGTACTTTCTGTCTGAGCTGGAAACGTTGAAGTAACAGACCATTAATGTGTCTGTGTGAAAAGCCACAGCCGCATGCCGGTGTTTCCGCGTTGATTGTGGGAATCTTTTGTGTGTTGGCACGGCACATTATCTCTTCCATTTTGTTTTCAGCCACAACAAGCTGTGTGAAATATGGTCTTTCTTAGTTTCCCATGCTGTTGTTACACAAGTATTTTGTTCACTTGCTGCTAAGTTTTATGTGCAGTTTTGTGTGCCAACTTGAAATGGATTGAAAACCACGTGCAAATGGCTCAAACTGTCCCCGTCTGATTTTTTTAGAGTGCAAAGAGGGCAAATTTAGCCTCAATGTAATAAAAAGGTGTTTTTATAAATGTGTGAATGGCAAAACAGTAGTTGTGTCATCACTGAAATTTGTAAGCATGTCACTCGTAGCCACATCCATTCAACCAAGATTAGAGCAGTTTTCTCTCCTTTGTGATTAAGTTTAGATTCTTGTGGGATTTTTAGTCACCTTAGTTTGTTCTTTTGCTAGTATTAACATATTTACATTGAAAAATGTTGCATTGTTAAAGTAACCTGCTGGTTTCTAACAACAGAAAGTATGCTTTTCTCAGCTCCAACTCAGTGTGCCCTAAATAGAGACCAAGACTTTAACAAAGTTTCATCTGTAAGATTACTGAATTGCCTTGTGCCAACATAATTTTTTAAGTTGTTGAATATAATTGTGCACAGACACTTCTCAAACAGACCTATTTAATGAAAATGTTTGAATCAACATCACAGCGCTTTGCCCTCCTCCACTCTTCATTAACTGACCGTGCCTGCAGCTTGCGGACGACCTCCTCGTCCTGTCTAGCACGCCTCTCGTCCTCCAGAGCGTCCTCTAGTTGACTGTACATGTGCTCCAGCTCCCGAACCCGCTGCAGGTACTGCTCCAGCTCAGTGGACTTCTGTGCCACCTGCTCCTCTACCTGCTGCCGTACCTATTAAACCAAGAAAGTACAGAACAATACTGGAAGTCAATATCAGATTGAACAGTTTTATTCCATAACTAGTCCTAAATTAGCAGCTTATCCTCAAAGTGACTATTTCAGCCAAGCCTATGTTAGGTAGGTCATGTATTCTGGTGCTCTTTGTGAGCTCTTTAGCACTGTGGTAGTAGGTGTAGAAGTACAAAGGTGCTAAGGTGTTTATGAATAAGCACACACCAAAAATAACCAACATTAGCCAGTTCTAGCTTTTTGCATTTTATTCCACTTTGAATTGAATAGATTTGGGTTTTGGACTGTGGGTTGGCCAAACAAGCAATTTTTTTTTTTTTTTTACTATTTTCTGATATTTTATAGACCAAATAAATCATTCTAAATAAAATAGTTATCAAATTAATTGCTAATGAAAATAATCGCTCTATGAGCTGAATGATTTAGGGATGTAGTTTGTATATTTGTAAGTTAACTTTGTACCGTTTTCATTCATAAACGTAATAGTAATAGATTTGATCAAACTCATGTTGTCTCTTCTTGTAAACAGCTGATGGGGAAGTCAGTGAAGAGGAAAAAAGCTATAAAGTCACTGATGGATGATAAACATCATCCACTGGTGTGTTATACCACTTCCATGCTGTGCACTGAGCATGTCAAGATGTTATCTCCTAACGCAGTGAAGCACAGTGTAGATGCTTTTTTGGTGGTTACATTTACCAAATGTACCTTACAGTAACAAGTACGTATCTGCAGTTACAATCAAACAGCAAATTCTTTTAATGAGCTGAGCTACATTGAAATACTGTATTATTAAATGTGTAGTGACATTAACACTCAAAAGGACTTGTCTGCTGTCAGGTTTCAGCTTTAAGTGACCTTCACTCTGAGCTGTAGTGTGTCTTAACTTTCAGTCTATATTGTCTGTGAAGATTCTCAAGGTCATCCAGGTCATAGTTATCCAAAGAAGGTTAAAGTCGAGAGCAACTGGACTTGGTTGAAGATACTAGGAGACATTTTGTCCCTCATCCAAGGGACTTCTTCAGTTCTGACTGACTGGTAGGGAAACTAAGCTACTGAACCTCAGTGGGGTCGTTTGGTAGGATTGTCGATATCGCTGGTTCGTTAGTGTTCCTGGCTGCTGTAACGACAGTCGTTATGGTCATTAGGACTACCGTTGGCATCCTCACCTGAGGCCAATAGGTTACGTTTTTTGAGTTTCCTGGGAAGTGATGAAAGAACCACATTGTAATTGTTCCTTGACACCTCTTTCAAACCATCCATCTTCTCTGTCTAAAATGTGCACCTCTTGGTTCTCAAACGAGTGTCCTTTGTCCTTCAGATGTAAGTAAACTGCAGAGTCTTGACCTGAGGAGTTGGCCCTTCTGTGTTGTGCCATATGTTTGTGTAGTGCTTGTTTAGTCTCCACAATATACAGGTCTCTGCATTCCTTACTGCATTGGACCGCATACGCTAGATTTCAGTCTGTGTTGTACTTGCACATCCTAAGGAAAAAAACCTCTACAGTATACCAAAAAGAGTGAGTTGTATTTGAATTGCTCCTTCTCCACCACTTGTTCTGATGTAATGACTCGGGAAGATGACAAGGAGTGGCATACCATTTTCTCTCTCTCCAGGTCCATCCTGTAGCGGTCCTGGAGTTCAGTTTGGGTCTGAAGACGCCTTCGTTCTTCTGCTGCAGCATCAGCTGCCGCCTCCTCCAGAGCCTGGCAAAAAGAAAAACAGATGGCTATCAAAAAAAAGGTCAGATACTCCCAGTAGATAAAAGAGCCTGTTAACAGGGCGGCATCCTTAAATTCAGGTTAGATATGTTATAAGAAATATGGTTATTTTAGTTTGAAGGCCAAGAAGCAAGCTGTGGCCCACAGCTTACCTTTAAATAGGCATTTAAAAAAAAGAAATAGGGATATCTAAAGAGATAGGCAACTTCTAAAGAGGAACTGAGAGTGAACATACATAGTGGCCACTGCTAAAATAGAAGTGCATATTGAAAAAGAAACCCCCTGAAAGATTATCACTGTAAAGCAGCAAGTCAATTTAGGTTATTTTCTGACAACAGATTGCAATTGAATTGTGGTGGATGTAAGTCTAGGGTTTCTTACCTAAGAAAACTATGAGAAGTTTTAATCCTACTTATAAAAGGGAATTGAAAATACACTTAAATTTGCTTCAGTGGGTCAACCTGCTCCTCTATGGAGATCTCTCCAAACTTCACATTCATACACACAACTCACTAAACTCACTACTCAACTCACCAAAATATCCATTATTCACCGTGTTCTCATTCCACTTTTGAACAGCAATTACGTGAGATTAACTCAAAAGTATGTCTAGAAACAGATCTTTAACACACTCCAGACTGTAAATCTTTGTACAACACAATGTGTCACAACCTCACTTGGCCACTCTATATTTGACACTGTAAAGCAAAACAACCTTAAAATGTGAGAGACCGGCGTGGTGTGTAAGTACAACAGAAAGTTAAGACATTTAGCAGACGTTTGAGGTCTCCAATTGCCTTTCAGTTATTTCAAATTTTCTATTTTTACAGACTTGTGTTACCCAGCTGTGACTTGTCTTAAGACTGCGACTGTCTACTACCGTACTTATAGCAGCATAGTGTGAGAGCCAGAGTGCCTATTGTGTATGTGTGTGTGTGTGTGCGCGTGAGCCCAGCGACACTGCAGATGACCCAGTGTGTCTCTCTCTCTCTCTGTATGTGGCTGTATATGTGTGTGTCCATTGTGCATTCATGCAGCCATCTATGTGTGATGGGACTTTCACCTCAATGGCAGATTGTTGCGCATTCATGGGAGAGCAGCAATGTCTCAAACAAAGACAAAGCCTTGTTCTCTGCTGCACTGTTTCTTGCACAACTACAACGTGAACTAGTTTGACTGACTGTTGCTGCATCTACCCGTCTGTCACAACCACGCTGATGGCTGCAACATGTCTTGTGCTGCACTGTACGGTCAATGTATTAAAGGGTAATATCCTCTGAGAAGATTTCTTTGATGTTGTGAGCTAAAAGTACGCTTTTCTAGACATGTTAGATGTAAGTGGAGACGGAAAATAAATCTCTCTCTAAATAATCAAATAATAAACATTCCCCTCCCCCCCCCCTTTCCATTTCAGATTGCTTTTTGTGATCACTTTTAATCACACACATCACTATATTTCACATTTTAATTATTGTGTTTCTTCCATCTCCCATGGTAAAGCAGTTCATTTTGATATCGACACTTGGGAATGATTGAAAAATCTCTGCCAATTATTTTCAGGTAAATGTGATTAATTAATAATCCAGGTGCTTATTATTATAGCCTTAGTTGTGTGTAATTATAGCTGTGCTTGCCAGTGTACAAAAACGTAAGCAAATTTTTTCACCTACTCTTTATTGACAGGTCTAAAGACTACAGTAGTGAAGAAGGCAGAAGTACTGATATGGGTATGAGTCATTAAGGCCATTTATTTATGGCATACTGTGGGAAATGAGGTTTGTGTGTCCAGTTTCACATTGTTTGAGATCTATAAGCTATCCTTACTGCTTCATAGCTTCATAACTTTGACAAAAAGAATACATATGAAGACAAATTGTTTTACTTTGAAGCAACTAATGTCCTAACCTGTAACAACTACAGTGTGTTTCAATCAACTGTATGACATCAGCTCTTTACTCATTGTGAAGCTGACACTTCCTGTTAACCTCACAGCCATTTACCGTATTCACAGGAACCAGCCTGTCGTCATCAGCAATTAGAGAATCCACATAGACACTGAATTTTAACACGACCAGTCAGTTAGCAGTGTGAACAGACAGGAGTGGAAGTCAGGTTTAGGGAGATTTACTGGAAAAACGTGTTTAACAGAGACTTATGATGTCCCTCTGTCCCCTTCCTGGTTCAATACACATTCCTCTGTTTGCAGCAAGTGGCAGACTATTCATCAGCCGGAGGCCACAGGTGGAGCTCATCTGTTATTGGTATTCATGAGCCAGAAACATGTTTCAGAGAGCCACTAGAGTTTTTAGGTGACCCACTTTAATTGTTTTGTAAAATGCAAGTTGCATAGTCTAATATATATATAATAGAAGCTTTACAATACACGTTACTCAGTTAACTCGTCTTGTATTTGTTATTTTAAGCTGTGACATTATTTATGGGGAATGTTGTCGAATCAGTTTTTAGACTTTGTTTAGTGACTAACTGGAGTACACATCTGTTTAGCAAGAATATTTCCTTCTTTTGATTTCCAGAATTAACAAGCTCAGTAGAAGCAAAAGATTTGATGATGCTGTGACCACGTGTTTGAAGGTTTATCAGACGCCAAACACTGCACGGAGCTTATAATGTTATAAGAAGGGAAAGTTATCATGCCAACAACTACTTACTATCTTATCACAAGGTAAACAGTAGAAATACGGTGTCCATGTTACAAAGTAATCTACCAGGAAATTGCACTAGCCAAACTTTGATTGCATTGTTTTTACAGCGAAGTGTTGAGCCAGTGGCATCACCACTGAATTGTCGAATTAAACTCATGCAAAGAATGAGGAGGCCGCATTTTTTCATAAAGGGCTAAAAGTCGGTCTGAACACGGTTGTGAGGATTGACCTTGGCGTAGAAAAACAGACAGAACTCCTCTTCACAGTTTAAGGTTCTTAATTGTGTATCTGAGTACAAAAGAAGCCCTGAGCACAGTGGATGCATAGAGATCCCATGAGTTTACGTTCTAGCTGAGGAAGCTTTCCCGATAAAGGAACAGAACAGACACTTTGTACCCAAACAGCTGAGTCAGCTAGGAAAATAAAACATGTGTGTCTTAAACACCCACGCATCTTTTCAAACTGCAAAGACACTCAAAATAAATTTGGAAACACATGTCTTCTTCTTCCAGGTCACTTCATGCTTGGAAGGGGAATGCCTCCGCTCCCTCCTGTATTTTTTTTTTTTTTTTTTTATTGAGTCGGATGCTTTCTATTT